TGCGGACAGAAGTGGATTCGAGGCGGCGTTTGGCATGTGGGAGGGGCGGATTAGGAGCCGATATCTCCGCCTTGGAGTATCGAATTAACAAGCGGTTGGTCTTGTTTTAGAGAGCAAAGAATTCTGCTTAATGCAATACCATGAAATTATTATAGACTCGCAGGCAAAGTAGAATAATGTTGTCGTGAAATAGCACTATTTTCCCGTTTTTCCGTTGTACACTCTAGGTATTTATTAGCTCTTGATTAAATAAACCCCTTCGACCTTCCACAGGGTGCAAATTATTATTATTAAGACTGAAACATAGTCATTGATGGTGTAGCATACGATAGTATTATCTTATTATGCTTATTGCAAAAGAATATTACATCACCACAGATTATTCTTATTAGATGTACACATTGATTTATGAGATTTTTAAGACAGCAATAATAAGCAAACTGGGCGCTGCCATGGCACCGTGCGACTTGTGCTGCCCCCTGGCAAAGTTACGCTTTAGAATTTTTAGATTTGTGCAGAGCACAAAAAGAGGGCGCTGTCGACAGACCCACGTAGTAGCGCGACCGCCAGGAGGAGCCAATACATAATAATGCGACGAACTGGTGGCGGATCGGAAAACAAAACAAAATAGAACCAAACTCGACCGGCAGAGAGAGTGCTAGAGCAGCTGGGAAAACTTTACGTGGGGCTGGTGTTGAATGACATCCACCACTACACTCACGTTCTCACTGGTAAGCAGGAGTAGAGAGGAAGGGAGGTATGATGTTTCTCGTCTTGCTTATAAGACACAAAGGTTTGATCTTTGATAAATAAAGTCGTAAAGTTTTATTCTGAACAACCGTCACTACAGTCACTCCATTTTTTCTCCTAGCTCGGATCCTCTCTCATACCACGTGACTCCTAGTGTCATAAACATAATATAAGGACACTACATTCCTCCTCATCTTTGAAGAATAACTGCATTATGTTGGATGTACATTCATACTTATTTGTCACTTGTAAAATTAAACTTAAACATTTCTCAAACTTTGTTTTGACTGGGAATACAAAAGAAATACAATTTCTGGTTGCTCTTTCCACAATTGAACAAATCATAATATGTGTATACATGTCACCTCAACATATTCTAACTTTCAAAATGAAAACATTTTTTCTCAATAACACTCCACTGTTAATTCAAACTGTCAATAAACTGTTTTACTGTTCGAACATCCTTGAATCTCACACACTTTCTCACATCACAAAGTCCTTGAATCTCACAGGAAATTTCCTCTCCCTCTCGGATCTTCGCGTACTCATTGGGCTTCTCAGGATTGACCGGGGTGGGGGTTCTGGGTCCTGGATCAGAGAATCATCTGAGTCCGGAGTAATGGACTCGTCTTCCATCTCTTCAGCATGATCTACGCGAACTTCCACTGGTTTGAAATGAGAGGAATTTCTTGTCACCTCTCGATCACCATATCGAGCTGTGATCATACTTCCTTTCTTCTCTCTAATCTCGAATGGCTGCGGATTGAATGGGGGATCAAGTTTGTTGTGTCGGGGTTGGCGAACTAACACACTGTCACCAACTGACATTTTACATTCATCAGTGTGACGCCGTTTGTCAGCATAAGCTTTCATCTTGCTTTTGCTAACAGCATCTTGTATGGCAAGTTGAGCATGTACTCTAGAATGTGCAGGAATCTGAACCTTCTGCTCAGGAAGTACCGTTTTCATAGCTCGTCCTGTTAGCGCTTCAAACGGAGACATGTGCGTTGATGTGTGGGGCGTGGCTCGATACTGTCTCAAGAAACTGTGCAGCTTTTGTTTCCAGTTCTGTGTCTCCGCTGTTGATGCTCTGATGTGTTTATTCAGAGTTGAGACGTTCTGCTTCTGCATTAGCTTCTGGCCATAAAGGTGTGATGCGTCGATGATGGAAACCTAGATGTTTTGCAAAATCTGCAAACTCTCGACCATTAAATCGAGGTCCATTGTCCGACTTCACGACACTGGGTATGCCTTGTCTCGCAAAGATAGCATCCAATTTTGGAATAACTGCTTTCGCAGATGTTGATGTCACCAACTCTGTCTCTGGGTATCTGCTGTACTCATCTACAACAACAAGTAGGTATTCACCGAAAGGAAGCGGTCCAGCGAAATCTACAGCAACTTCATCCCAGGGGCTGGAGGGTAGTTTTGACATTCTCAGAGGTTCACGCTGTGTATGCGTGATGCTGGAAGCTTGACATGGTATGCACGATTTTACCCGTTGTTCCACCATAGCATTGATCCCAGGAAACCAGACTTTCTCGCGCAGTAATTTCTTGGTCTTCACAATCCCTTGGTGTCCAATATGGGCAAGATCAATCGCACAAATTTTCAGTTGATCTGGGACGACAATTCGATTTCCCCGCAACACGACACCGTTGCTGACTGCAAGCTCATCTTTCACGTTCCTAAAGTCTGAAATTTCGCTGTCTTCCCAAAGCTTCAAATCTCCACTTCCAATGGCTCTGCTGAGTTTTCGCACCTTT